TGGAGGATACTATGACACATATAGTAAAATAATTGAACTAACACTAATAGAAATGAATAAATAAACAGCTAAAAGAAATACATACATGAGCAAAAGCAGTCTATAGAACATTTATAAAGCTCATGTTGGAAAACCCGAGTGTGTTTGGCACAACACTACATTCAGATCAGAATTTTGACTGTAAAAGCTGCCAGACAGTACAGGATCAAAACATTAATTAATAAGTAAATACATTTGGAGGATGACTTCAGTAGCATGTTGTCATATATACCCAAATTCTAAGTGTTTTATTTTTATATAAGTGGATAGTGTTTAATTGACCCAGATCTCTAGCAGGATTTTCCAGGGAGACACTGGGAAACTAAGTTTCTCCACCCAATGTGAAATAAAGAATTAACTTTTAATTTAAGCCCAAATCAAATCATCATTCATCATATATTGCAATAAATATACTCTAAGTTACATGAAAAAAGCACAGGGCTGCTAAACTATTTTATTTTAAAGTGTAGAGTTTAAGGTGATATAAATTTAAAAAGGCCTGTCTTAAAATTCTTTAAAAAATAAAATGACTCCCACAAGTTTAGTTTGAGGTAAAAAGGGGCTCTGTGAGGGGATTTCTTAAAATCACCCCGCAATTCTTCAGCTGAGACACTTGAGTTAGAAAACACAAACACTGCAGTTGTCTTTACTCGCGAGGACAAGTGACAGAGCGCTCGTACACGTAAGAGACACTCACGGACTTGTGGTCTGTCACCATCCTGCTTTCTTTCTTTATACAAGAGAAATGAAAACATTTGTTCCGTGACATAAGCATGTGCATATGTGATTGTGCGTGTGTGTGTGTGTGTGTGTGTGTGTAAGGTCAGAACTGCTTGTTCAACTTCTTACTATTGCTTGTGGGAAGATTCAGATACAAATATCAGTACACGTTTTCATAAAGAACAATCAGTTCTAAGCAAGGAAAAGATCATCATGCAGCATTCTATCACAAATAAACTTATATCATTAAAAGCTTATGCTGACTAAACAAATACAATTTTCTATTGACAGGCTCCAAACTGGCTCTTCTAGTTCAGGGCATCAGAGGTGCAGCTGGTATGCAAAAACCTGTTCAGTATTTTAAATACACTCCTTCCCATTTCTCCAATCCTCTGCATGTCCCACCCTAACGGTACATTTGACATGCCATATTAGGCATCTCACACCACTTGGTTCATGCTATAAAAAAGACGCAGGATCAGACTTTTGTTCACCTGAAGTGATCCACATCCAGAGGGACCATGATGATGCTTTCCTTTGTCTTTGTTTTTGTGCTCGCTGGTGAGTTGTTTTCCTTCATATTCTTGTCTACGTTCACGTTTTTAAAAGGAAGGAAATTATTTAGCACGAGTGCACTTTTCACCCATCTCTCCCTCCTCGTGTCAGGTTGTGCATCAGGAGACATTGAGAAGAGGATTGTTGGGGGAGTATCGTGTCCAGATAGACTCTGTTCAGGGGGGCAAGACCTGCAGAGGCGCTCTGATTAACACCCGCTGGGTCATCACGGCTTCTCATTGTGCCGAACGGTAAGAAACTGCAGCTTTTGTTGAGTCACTTCACCAATGAGAGGGAATGGTGTTTAAAGCTAGTGTGTCATCAGGAGCACAAAGTGAAGGTGAAGTGAAAATGAAAGATAAAACAGAATGACTAAATTTTTAGGCTGCTCAGTAATATTGTTGTTATTATATTATGTGCTCAAATAAGCCTATCTCTCCTTTTTCTATTCTTTTTTTTTTTTTTTTTTTTTTTTTTGCAGGACTGCCAAAGTGAAGATTGGCTTAAATAACCAAGTACCATTTTTGAAACAAGTTAAAGTTTTTTTAAAACAATTTTTTAGGATCCCCCCAATATCTTGAACGGGACATTGATCCTAAACAACAGTTTACCTTCAAAGAAGGTGATCAACCCCATGATATTATGCTGATAAAACTGAACTCCAGATTTTAGTATGCGCTAGAATAGCCCCAACATACAAGATGATTGAGACTATGCTGTAGAATTTGGGTTTAACTGTCATTTCTTTCTGTTTTCTATACAAAAAGTTTCACATTTCAGCCACACTCCCACTTCATAGAGCACATAGTGTGATATCAAGCTAACCCATTGTTAAATGAGCACTGACAAATCTGTAGAACAAGGCACCTTCATTTATGTGAACTAAGTAAAACTCAAGATCATAGTATGTGCTAGAATTCCGTTTTGTCGGATCACGTTCAGTTTTTATGATACACTTGCCGAGACATTGTTTTAGCAACCTTAGTGTGTAGGGTCTTGACATTTATTTCCATCCAGATTTACACTGATTTTTTTTCCCAGTTGTGTATCTTGATAGTGAGTCTGTGTGTTTCTACACAAAGCACATCCCAAGATTCTCAGTGAGGTTAACGCCTGGGTCATGTGCTCCCTTAACTGCTCATTTACAATTCAGTTAAGGGCAGTCAAACACTTCACTGTTTTGTCTTCACTGCTATCATCATCTGTGTCCAGTCTTAAATAATTCTTACTATGAGCCTAAATAAAAGTGGTAAATAATCCAATACTTATGTCTTTGTACATGTCATAGAGTAGGCTGTATGAGCCGACCAGCTGCAGAAATAGTAAAATAGTTTCAGCTGCAGCCACAAGGAAGATTGGGGGCACAGGATGTGTCTGACTTCCCGCTCTAGTGGCTTACATCATACAACCACATTATCAGGTCAAAATTTATTATAACTGTGAGGGTTGATATTGGCTGTGTTTTTTGTATCTGCAGAAAATTTGCAGAACGTTTTCTGTAGTTCAAATATCACGGATTTGTTTGAA